ACACACATATATTATGTAAACAAAAACTTATTTTGAATGTGATTAATCACGATTAATCGTTTGACAGCACTACTTGATATATTTTACCAGTGTAACTTATCTGCTAGTCACCAAACTTAATCATTAAATACCATTTTGATATTACAAATAAAAAGATGCTTTCCCTGTTGGTGAGTTTGTTTACTGCGTTACAGACAAACTGTATAGATTGACAGGTAACTCATAATGACTCATAATTTAAGTGACAGGCCTTGTCTGGCCAACCGAATGTTAATTTCTTGACCAGATTAACCTCAGATTTTAATATTTATTTGAATTAAAATTATACAGATATTGCAAAACCATAACAATGTCCCCAACATTGTTGACAGGTAATTAATATACTCCTTAACAATAGGTCACATTGGAGATGAAATATAGAAAAAAAAATAAAAGAACATTTAACATAATGTGTTCAAAATGTCAGCTGCAGAAGAAAATGACATGATCACATGATGCTGGTCATATAGTTTTATGATAAACCATTTTTAGTTTTCAGGGGGATGTTTGGTTTGTAACATAGTTGACAGAAATTTTTTTATGGATGTGAGTAAAAATCTATTTTTCTAAGGTGTTTAGATTGTAGAAATAAATTGAATATATAAATATATATATATATATATACAGTTTATTTTTACAATAGAATCTTCAGCATTTTTTATTCATTATTTTGAACTCAAGACTCATTAATTAAAAAAACCAGATTTTGTAAAAAAAAAAAAAAAACTGATTTAAAAACAGGGTGCACATAATATGTGTGCAATTATAGTATGTATTCTCTCGATGCATAAAATATCTTGAAAAAGTTGTTATATAATCATCAATGGTACCCTAAATGATATAATGACCCTAATACATAGTGTCTGTATGTGTGTCCTGCAGGGCATGTTTCTGTGGGTAACGGAGGTCAGACGGCCACAGCAGAGGAGAAGAAAGAAGACGTGATCGGTACAGTGGAGTGGAGCACAGCCACGGTAGAAAGCCCAGAGAAAGGAGACTCACCTGATATCTCAGGTAAACATTCAGACCTCACTCAGGACTCTCATGCGTTAATGAAGATGGCATCCACAGACGTGATGAGAGCTGTACTGTGTGTGTGACCCCAGATGAGACGCTGAGTTTCTGGAGGGGCATCGCTGAGGTGGGGCTGATGGGGGAGGTGGTGTCTAATATCCACTCAGAGCTGCTGAGTCTGCTGAGAGGAGTTCAGTTGCGCACGGATCAGAGCTCTCTACAGGACGCAGGTCAGTGCTTCATCTGTGACAGGTTTGTCCCGTGAAGTTCAGCTCCAGCCCTAATCAAAAACATCTGAACCAGATGCCAGTTACAGATTCACAAGATGCCAAATAGAGATTCAAAGTATTTTGCAACAGATATACCTTTACATTTTTTCACAACCTTAAGAGACTTCATTAAAAGAACACATTTGTTACAGAAAACCTTGCGAACCAATCACATTATAGCTAAGACATCATTGCATTACTGTCAGAATTACCACAACAATGATCAAAGACCCATAAACTGAATCCTACCTTCTACTAAACTGTCAGTGAGTTTTCACAGAAAACTCCCAAAATAATAAATACATCCAAAATGAATTAGCAGGCAAGCTGTCGGTTCAAAAAATGCCCTTTATTCAGCAGTTAATTTAATATGAATAGGACCATCAAGACTTTTTGTAAATGATATACAAAATATATACAGTAGTCAACATTTGAAGTGGATCAAATAAGTTCATCAAAGTTGACAAGAACGCATTTTGGTTTTGGCAAAAGTTGACTACTGTGTGTGTATATATATATATATATATATAAAATTATGTCACTTTTATGCTAGGGCTGTCAATCATGTAAAAACGCTAAATTAATTGAATTTATTCATTTAACCAGTTCAATTCATTTTAAGACTTGATGAGATTCACCTGTAGGTGCGTTTTGTTTTTGGAGCATCTTGTAGCCTGTAGCTCAATTAGAGGATTGGAGATCCATGAAAACAACATTTAGTGTGTCATATTTGTTTTCATTATGTTGTTGTGTTGTAGTTCGGGTGTAGTTGTGGTAGCAGAATGTGACTATTAAAGGTCACATATTTTACACCTTTCTGGAGTTTTATTTTAGGTTTTGATGTCCTTAAGAATATATATTTGTGGTATAAGTACCAAAAACCATCTCAGGAGCTCTGCTGAGAACAGGTCGATTTTGGCCTGTCTAATTAATATTCATGAGCCTCTCTTCTGACTGGCCTGTTGTTTTCTGAGTGACGCACGGTCAGGCCAACCAGAGGTAACTAGGTTCATGTATGCTCGACATGTTTCCGTGTTGTTGTTGCTCAGCAATGGCATGGACGCGATGTTGTCTGGGGGTTTGGCAAAAGGAGAGAGGGACTGTGGGCAGTGCTCAAGTTGGTGACTGAAGGCGGTGACTGTGTAGTTCTGATGTCAACTTTTTACGGAAGTCACAACGGTTCGTGAAAAATCACAGCTACTTTATGCAGGCTGTGTGCATTTTACTGTGGACTGACTGTTTTGAAACTTATATGGTAGTTAAATAGCCCCTAGACCTCAGTTATCGTGAAAAAAGCCAGGAAATTTCAGTTTTGACAATATGGGACCTTTAATGTTGAGTTGGTGTTTAGTGTGTGTGCTCGTGAGATGTGATCATGTGATCTGTGAATCTTGCAGAGATTGCGGTTCTGAGTAACCTGGCACAAGTCTTTGACCTGCTGGACTCCATCAAACAAATTCTGAATGTTCGACGGCAAGTGACGGACCCGGAGCAGACGCAGGTCCTCAGAGCACTGACAGGTGAGTGAAGAGACAGTAGAGATGGTTTCAGACGAGGGATGCAACGATACAATTTTTTCAGAACCGATCCGATCCATTCCAATCTGATACCAGCACAGTATTATAAACTAGGTTAGTGGTGATTCAGCAGCGGAAGAGAGCCTACTCTTGAAAAATCATGAGTGCACAATAATTTTATAAAATCTAAACATTTAGTGAAACAACATTATTTGGTGGGGAACAAATAGAAGTTAAAAGGTGCGGGACTAAATCTGGTAAAATGTTACACATTGCTCTTTGTATTGTTGTAAAATGCATTCGTGAACACACAAGTAAATATATTTATATATAAAATATATATTATAAAATTAAAAGACATTACTTTAAATGTGTAGCACAGTAATGAAGGCAGCAACATATGATAGATAGGACAGAACAAGAAAGACTATTAATAATCTTTCATTGCGCAAAAGTATTGCAATACGAGAGGGTATGGCTCCAATACAGATGCGCTTGAAGCAACACAGAGTCACAGCGCTCCACATTGAAGAGTTCAAAGTACAAAGAGAAGAGATACTGATGCTTAGTGTGTTATATCTGTGCAATAGTTTATTGAGCCTTTTCTTTTAACAGTTTTAAATCTCAGTTATTGTGCGCTCTTGCACTCGTTTTGACTGTCGTAAACCAAACGTGACACGCAGTTTGAATACTGAATGGAGAAAGACAGACAGCCGCAGCGGAGAGAAGAGTTAACATGATCTTGAATGTAATGACTCAAATATTCATCTGTACCTCACATTAAACTATGGAACAGCTTCAGAACACTTGAAATATAGTGCACCAAAACTTTATGGTGCTTTATAATGTTTTTGTGCCTTTCGTGGGGCTTAACAATAACACAGAATAGGATATGCACAATGTAAGATTTGGATCGGTCTCGTCTGACCGATACCTGATCCGGCAGAAAATGCCAGTATCGGAGCCGATACCGATACTGAATATCGGATCGATGCATCCCTATTTCAGACTTGAACTTTTCAAGTAGGCTGCAGCAATGGGCGTGCCGAAAGGTAGGGGCGTGGAGAAACTTCTTCCTGATTGGTTGACAAAGCTGTTTGTGCCTTTCGTGGGGCTTAACAATAACACAGAATAGGATATGCACAATGTAAGATTTGGATCGGTCTCGTCTGACCGATACCTGATCCGGCAGAAAATGCCAGTATCGGAGCCGATACCGATACTGAATATCGGATCGATGCATCCCTATTTCAGACTTGAACTTTTCAAGTAGGCTGCAGCAATGGGCGTGCCGAAAGGTAGGGGCGTGGAGAAACTTCTTCCTGATTGGTTGACAAAGCTGTCTGTCAGGGTGTGGGGGTGGGGTTAGGGGTAGTTTCTGTTGTACTGATTCACCTTTCAGAGCGCCCATTGCTCCAGGCTGCACTACCCCCATCTCAAACAAGCTGAAACATTTTCCAAACTCAGTCTGTCTGTGAATTCAGTTAATTTTCTGAAGTGATCTCCTGTCAGTCAAGTATACTTCTATCTGTGTCTGTCAGCAGAAAAACACGAGTGTCATCTCGTGCGAGTTACATTTTTGTATGATAATATGCCTTTCTGAGCCCAGCCGCCCTTTAGATTATTTCACAAATTCCCATCATTCGTATTCACAGGTTTTCTAAAAGTGTTTCTAAAACATAAGGCACAGTTTAAATCATTTTGTGAGAGATTCTCTTATAGTTTCTACTATAAATTCTAATTGGATGAGCTGCATATAGACATTTGGAATAGCAGCGTAACACTTTATTTTGATAGTTTACTTTAGACACTGTACTAACTAAAGTAACTTTGCAACTACATGTCAACTAGCAGTCATTAGAGTATTAGTAGACTGTCTGCTTAATATCTTCTAAAACTTTATTTTGATGCTCCCCAACTGACATTCTTCTAACTTACGCCATATTCGGACAGGAATAGTTTTCCAGGGGGTCGATAGAGAAATTTGTGTTTCACTTTGCGATTTTAATCCCGTGCGAATCTGCCACGTCTGTGTTTTTCTCACACAACCTCAGTAATAACTCCAGAGCAAATGACCTACTGTTTTTCTGCAAACTCAGTGATCCTCTGAGAAAACGAATCCCGTCCGAATGCAAATGTCTGTGATTGTTGACGCTATTTAGTTTTTTCACAGCGCGTTTGCTTGTGTGTTTTGGCCAACGTGAACTACCGTAGATGCTCTTACTACTGCACGCATTTTTGATATGTTTGCCTCCCTGCAAAGAAATAAAATAATGAAATGAAGAGCTAGATCACGTAAACTGTTAAGAATGGCTATTGTAATAACAGCGTCAGATAAGATTACTCACCTTCACTCAATTACATAATGTTTTAATTACATATGTACCTTTACGAAAATTGAACATGGTTTTGCTACAAATAAATAAAAAATAAAATAGTTAAGCTAAAGTAACCACGTAGTTTAGAAAACTAGTCCCGTCTGAATAGGGCTTTAGACTCGTTGGAAAAACATGCCTGTGGTGACATTTCTGCAAAATGACATTACGTTGCTGCTTGCACGCTTTGCGCCACTTTCAAAGTTCAGTTTTATCCCACATAGGTGAAAGTGAATGTGGCAATGTTTTTTTTGTTTTTTTTTTTACAATGGTTGTTGTTTATATCGTGGCAGTTGTTTGGAAATGAAAAGTTTAATGCTCAGTAATGTACCACCTACACCAAACTCTACTCTAAATCTAACAAGTAGTGTTGACAAAAGCAAGCATGGGATGAAAACGTGTTTGCTAAAGCAACCATGCCCTTTAGCTTGATTTTACCAGTCTGAGCTTTTTTATTGAGTGTCGTGACTTGTGTTTTGACTGGATTTGTTCCTGAGTGCTCAGTATTACAAGATACTGATCAAGTTTAGTGTGTTAGATCAGAAATATTAGATCCAGCCCCAGACGGCCAGATCCTGTCAGCAAATATCTGATTTGTCTGGAAACAGAACAATTAGTCAGCAACGTTGTCTAATACCCAAAACTCTATTAACAGTCTTCTATCAGCCAAGAGTTGACTGAGCAAAGCCAGAGAAGGGCAGGAGCAGGAGACAAAGTGATGATGATAAAAAGAAGCAGTTTATTGAATCTTAGTTTTTAAGATTATGATACCACAATCAATAGCAATGAAAAATTACTGCTTCACAGCATTGTCCCGAAACATTAAAACCTTTGAAATGGAGACATTCTCTCATCTCTCACTCATGAACAGAAATATCCCTTGAAACCACACAATCATAAGACTGAACAATAGTGGAAAAATAACATGAAATATAATTGCACGGGTTCTCAACGCTGGCCCTCGAGGTCCACTTTCCTGCAGAGTTTAGCTCCAACCTTGATCAAACTCGCCTGCTAGTAACTTTTGAGTAATCCTGAAGACCTTGTTTAGCTTGTTCAGGTATGTTTGATTAGGGTTGGAGATAAACTCTGCATGAAAGTGGATCTCGAGGGCCAGAGTTGAGAATCCCAATAATATAATATAAATGACTAATTAATTAATTAATGAATCAGTGAAATGAGTATATAAATGGTTTAATATGAATATGAATTAATTATATGAATGAATGAATTAATTAATTAATATAAAAGAAAGAAAAACACAACACAAATGTAAGGTTGCTGTCTTAAAGCAACATACACCCTGGTTGCTACTAAGAATTCTTGGATCCCTCAAGTGAATGAGAAAAGCCATACATAGCTGGCTATGTGATGTCAAAATGTATTCATTTACAAATTATACACTATAATAAAGTGTCATAACAACAAATGCAAGAAACCTTGTGAAAATAAGTCTTTCTTAACCAATATTTTGCCCCTTTGATCATAATTTGTGAGATAAGGAATAAGAGTTGGTGTTTTACTGCCACTAGTTCATTACAGCTGGAAACTGAAGTGCACTGTATGTCTAGGTATGTTTTTTGGAGTTTTGCAAAAATGTAGAGGCATGTTTTTTCAATGAGCCTGGGTTCCTTCTCTGATGACGTTTACACCGGCTCTAGGGCTGAACAATTATCCCTCCCCTCCAGCAACCTGTCGCTTCACAACAATTAGTGAGCGGTCCAATCAATTCCCAATAAACAAAATAAAGTCCTGCCCTCTTTTCTTTCTCATTCGAGAAGTCGTTTCACTCACACATACGTCACAGTTGGGAAGAAAACACAATCGCAATTTCCATTTCATGCCATCTTTAAGGGGGGTTTAGACATAAGCATTGTGCTTATAAGGGCACTCATTACCGTGGTAAAGTCACAGAGTAACACTTTATTTTAAGGACCAATTCTCATTATTAACTAGTTGCTTATTAGCATGCATATTTCTAGAATGTTGGCAGTTTATTAGTACTTATAAAGCACATATTAATATTACGGCCCGTTCACAGCAAGAATGATAACTATAAAGATAACTATATTAGTGTCCACACCAGCGGATGATATCGTCTGTTTATTCTCGCTCATCTACCGCTTTACATTCTCGAGCTCTTTACAGCAGTATTGATTCTGAGTGGCTGTCAATGATTTATCGTTCATCAGCTGGAAAAAATTGTCCTGAAAGTGATTCCAATGATATCGTTTCTCTGTGCCTTTATCGTTATAGCTGTGGTGTGGACTCTGCTATTCTTAAAAGGTAGGGTAGGCGATTTCGGAAAGGCTAGCAATAGCAAGCTAGCTTTGAAAGCAAGATCCCCTCCCTCCGTTCACTTTGTAAAGCCACGCCTCCCCCAAAAAACATGACCATAGGCTAACCAGCGACACGATGAGAGATGGCGTTGGTGAAGGATTGAATGCAACGCTGTCAGATTACCTCATGTCTCATTCACCAGTGAGAAAATATATCATGTATCATGTCTGCGCAAACAGGGTGCGCAGAGGTATGCAAATACATATTTGACAGGCAGGCAGGCAGGCAGGACAGCCTATCCTAATGTTCGGATCGAACATTTTGATTGGACGAACATTCTATGGTCCTACGCCTTCCACAGACAATATAAATACATGTAGACCACTTAACTTAGTGATTGCAATCGAGATGTGAAGAGACTTTCAACCAGCATAACAAAAAATTTTTTGAACCAAATCACCATACCCTGCCTTTATTGAGAACGATTTTTTAGAACTATTATCATTATCGTTATCTTTATAGTTATCGTTTTTGGTGAGAACGGGCCTTTAGTCTGCATGATCATACTCTAGATCCCTAAATCAAACCCCCATACCTAAACTTAACAACTACCTTACGTAAACAATAAGGTACTCGAGACTGTGCTGTATTGTGAATAAATCACAGACGAAGGGCGTTGTTAGCCACGACCATAGACTGTATAAAAACATGGACGTAGTGTCCGTGACGTCACCCGTAGGTTTCTGAAGAGCGTTTTTGAAGCTGGTTGCTGAAACCACGCCCACCTAGCTCGACGGTGGTGACAGCAGAGGCAATCCACCTGTCACTCAAGTGGCCACACCCTTAATTATGCAGAACTTTAAGGCTTAATATAATTTAAACGGATGAGTTATAAAAAAATTCGCACGACGCGAAGCAGAAGGGCGTGGTCTCAAAATTAAAGATGAAAGATGCAACATAACACCAGCAGTGGTCACTCATACTTCATTAAATAAGTAACACACAGTTAATTTTGCCGAAATACATAATACACGACACAGTTTTAATGCTATATTATTGATTGTTTATGTTGCTAAGGTTGTTGCGCAGTGATACACAGAACCGCTGGGTGAAGCGGTCATAGCTGTGCTTTATTTTGAATAAAACACCGCTGCTGGAACTAACCGTTTTATAATAACTATTAATAAGCAGCAAATCAGGAGTTTAATGATGCAAAAGAGACTTTCAACCAGCATAACAAAAAAATGTTTTTGAACCAAATCACCTACTCTGCCTTTAATATTGAGAATGATTTTTAGAACTATATCTTTATCGTTATCTTTATAGTTATTGTTCTTGGTGAGAAAGGGCCTTTAGTCTGCATGACCATATTCTAGATCCCTAAAGGCCATTCACACCAGGAACGATAACTATAAAGAAAACGATAAAGATATAGTTGTAAAAATCGTTCTCAATATTAAAGAATAGCAGAGTCCACACCACAACCATATACGATAAAGGCGTAGAGAAACGATATCGTTGGAATCACATTCAGAACGATTTTTTCCAGCTGATGAACGATAAAAATATTGACAGCCAATCAGAATCAATACTGCAGTCACGAGCCCGAGAATTTAAAGAGGTAGACGAGCGTGCGCTGAGAATAAACAGACGATATCGTCCACTGGTGTGGATGATAATATAGTTATCTTTATAGTTATCATTCATGGTGTGAACGGGCCTTTAATCAAACCCCATACCTAAACTTAAAGGGATAGTTCACCCAAAAATGAAAATT